GAGTTTTGCTCTCGGAGTGTGTTGGTGCAGTCTTTCCATTTACACCCTGAGCAGAACTCTTTCATCAAACTATTCATGTTATTGCGTAACTCCTCCTTAACAATCGTTTGTGACAACTGATCATTTTCGTTACTACCGTCTTGTATCAATATCAAATTCCTCTGAACGCTATTTTTTGTATTAAGTAACTCCACCAAAAACTTACTAATTTTAACCTCCTTGGTTAAAACAACCCTAACCATTTGTATTTCCACTTGACAAATTTAATATGCACACATACAAAATAGCCATATATATTTGCGAAAAGAGACTCTTCACTGAACTACTGGTCTTCTCTATCAGTCGAGTTTTTGGAATATCGTGTGAGATGTATAGATCCAAGGCTTCGTGTTGATTATCTCCAACAATCTAACATCATTTTTATTCTTCAGTGCAAAGGTGAATCACCTAGCTTGATGGACAAATTCTCAAAATTTAATAAAAGAACTGAGTCAGCACAATCACCAATGGCTACCTATATGATGAGGCTATATATAAATATATAAAGTCACAGTGAGTAGCCTTGAAAAAGGATTTACATTGCCTAACTATCTGTCAGTTGGTGTATCAGTGGATCGGTGGTAGAATGTTCGCCAATCATACAAATGGTGTGAGTTCGATTCGTAGCTGATGCATTCTTCCAAACTACACCTTTCCTGTAGTAAGCCTGAGAAAGAGGGAGACAGATTAGAAGCAAGACTGATAACATGCCACCGCATTAAAAAGTGCAACACAATTACTGAAGCTTCAAGACCTGAATTCCAATGTTTTGCTTAGAACTCAAGGAATGATAAGGCATAAAACGCAACTCTTTGTCAGTTGGGATGATTCTATAATGTATTTTGAAGTATGTTCGAAATGGTGCTGTTGGAATCTAACGTGGTGGTTGAATGATGGAAGCAAAACTACTCACAGGCACGTGGTTATTTCTTTTTACCGACCGTGTTTCCTAGTGACCGTATCTTGGTGATAGAGAGTGTTGATCACTTCACTTATCTGGGAAGTTGCATCAGCCGGTCCATCGGGTTGATCGCTGACGAAATATCAGTACGGATACACAAGACTCGTTTGGCACATGCCAGCTTACACGACCTCTGGCTTGGTAGTCGTTATATCCTGATGGGTATTGATCAAAAGACGTGTCTACTTCTCAGCACTTTGCTCTATCCTATTTTATGGTTGTAAGTGAGACGTGGCCATGGAAAGTGGAAGACATGAAAAGCCAAACTAGTTGTCTTTGATCATAGGTGTCTGTATTTTGTCTCCCGTGTGAAGTGGTAGAATAAGGTGAGCAATATTGAGGTTATATTTTGGTCGAGTGTTAGGTAAGGAGGGGAAATCAATAGACGAGGCCGTGAAGTTACATCGAGTGAGACGGTCAGGGTGTGTTACGCATGTATGTGTAACCATTGCCTTCCTCGATGGGAAATGTCAGCTGACATTTAATTAATAAGGCTGGAAAAGAGTTAGCTAGTGGTGGTCAAATCAAAACATGGCTTCATCAGTTCATGAAATCCACAAAAGTTTGCTTGAGCCACGTAAGGAGGTGTAGACTTCCTGATTCCTGGTTGGGGTCCTCGGAATGATAAAAACCGATGAAGGCTGTGGGCAATAGGTGAAATGGTTCAAAATCGTTATCAGTGGCTGGCACAGATACATTCACTCTTTTCGATTTACAATATTCAATAAAGCTCTGTTGTTCTTCTACATTCTTATTCTTCTTGCCTCATATTTCTGTTTATTATCTGAATCTCTCTCTTTTGAATCCCTCCTTTGTGCACCGAAGTTCTGCAAAGTTCTAAGTTGAAACAAGTGTGTTTTGCGTTTGTATACTGCTCCATTCAATTGACCAATGAACAGCTGAGTAAAATTATTAACCTTGACAACATCAATATGCATTACAAAATGTAACATCAAATCACTGTGATATCATTAGCTCAATCTCTTCTTTCTTTCTTTTTCTATACTTTTGTGTTAAGGGTGGAACATTGAGTTTCATGCCTTAAGCTTTCAGGTTTCAGTGGTAGTGTATCGTTTCACTGGGTTGAGTTGCTAGCCTCATGCCTAACCAATCCTCTTATTATGGGGATAAGGTTTAGCAGTTGGTAGGCTGTGGGTCGAACGTAGGCCAAATGGGTACTCTATGGTATCTGTGTACACGACTGTTACTAACTTGTAAATCTGCTTACTCACTTTCTTACTTCGAATTTTGCTACTCCTAACAATAAACCTGTTTATTAATTTTTGCAACAGATCTCGTTCTAACAATATTCATGCAAACTGTAATACTTTAAGATAACTCAACGTCCTTTTGTTTTATTTCACCGTGCGTCGGTGGCACAGTGGTTAGGACTCTCGCCGACCATGCAGATGGTCCGGGGTTCGATCCTCTGCCGGCGCACACCCGATATCTATGGTCGGCCTGCAAAAATTTGGGCTACCGATATCCATGCTGAAAATTCCATATCTGTACTGAAAATACGGTGTGGAATCAAGCTGTAATCAAAATAAATAAATAAAATAATACTGTTTAGAGTTTTCCTTACTGGGGGACTGATACATCTTGATAAATAAAAGTATTTCGTTTACTCCTTTACGTTCCCAGTGGAATATAGGGCGCCTTCAAGCTAGTGCTTTGAAGTTTCCGTTAGAGTGTTTACTTTTAAGGTGCCGGACTGCTAGCTCCATACCCAACCTTCCCTCTTACTGGTCTTATCACTGGCTTGGCAAAGTAAAGGAATGCGTCGGTGGCCGGTGATCGAGCCTCCAACCATTTACGTGGTTGGTGAGCATTCCACCGCTAAGCCACCGAAAGACACAAATAAGAGTATGCTAAAGTTGTATTATAACTCGCTGTATTAAATGTTATAGATTGCAGACAGCTGAAGGAAATTATGAAGTAAGGAGAATCCATGTCGCTTGTCCTTTCAAATTTTACAAACAGAAATTCGTCTATCAGTCTCGTGTATCAAATGAAGCAGTATAGTCCACATCACTGTGGTTAGATGTAAAGAGTTACTTAAGGATAATACACTAATCCTGTAAATCTGGAAAGAGGCACCAGTTGAGACAACTAGGTGTTAAACACGCCAAGCTACCACATTCCTCAATAATCTGATGTAAACTAAACTACAACTAAGTTGGGAAAGATTTAAAGGTAGTCATACAAAAACCTGACAATAATATCTGTAGTATTTGACTATGCACTTTGGTTTACGTGTGAAAATGAAGTGTTATTCGTTGAGAACCTTCGGATGGGAAGAATGAATGACTGAAGAGTGTTGGTGACACAGCTTAAACGTTTTCTCATTGGCATAGATGTGTTCATTTCATGTTGACATCCATATTCTTAAAATTTTTACTTATTTCTATCTGTTTATTCCCCCTGTCAATGAGGAAACAGGCATAAAATGGACTAACACAAAAACCTTTGAGGATCTGGACTTCGCCGATGATATATGTCTGATTTCCCACAAACTGGAAGATATGCAAGCGAAAAGTAACAAGTTGGCAGAAGAAGCATCAAATATAGGACTTCAGGTGAACATAGAGATAACAGAAGTGATGAAGATTCCTGTCCAACATCAACAGAAAACAATCAGCATAAATGGAAGGAACCTGAAAGAAACTACCTCCTTCACCTGCCTACCTGGAAAGCATCGTTTCAACTACAGGCGGAACTGACGAGGATATCAAAGCAAGAATCGGAAAAGCAAGACAAGCTTTCATTACTCTCAAGTCTATTTGAAGGTCAACAGCACTCAGCATCAAAAATAAGATCCGGATTTTCCACTCCAATGTGAAGTCAGTGCTACTATACGAATGGATCAGAGACTTGGCGCGTTATGAAGAGCATCTCAAACAAACTACAGACCTTCATCAACAGCTGTCTTCGCCCAATACTCCGCTCAAGATCAGATGGCTGGCCAGAAAAGATCAGCAACAGGGATCTCTGGGAGTGAACCAACCAGGAACCAATTGTGAAACAAATAAGCAGGGAGAAATGGAGATGGATTGGCCATACTCTGAGGAAACAAATCATCAAGTGACATCACTAGACAAGCCATTGCTCAAGTGGAACCTGAAAGGGAAGCGGCGGGTTGTTCGTCAGTGCAAGGGTGACTTGGAGGAGGTCATGTGAAGAGGAGATGAAAACGTGTGGGCAGACTTGGAGCCGGGTGAAAACGTTTGTAGAGAACCGAACGCAATGGAGACACACGGCTGAATCCCTATGTTCCCATAGGAATTGAAGGAAACAGTAATATAACATAATCATTCCTCCTGTCATATATTTTCACCCAGTACTGTTCCACTGCATTCTATTTCTCAACTTTTATATGTACTTTTATAAAATGTGGCAATTTGAACCACTGGAGCTTTTCTACAAACATTACATTCATTAGTTTTGAGGCACAATAAAATCGTAGATATGGACAACTAAACAGTTCCAAATTAAGAGTACACCTTGACTTTTTCTGGGCTTCGAGATGATGCCAATTCATGAAGAAATCTATCATGATGTGTTAATTTTGATCAGGAACATATTTTTATCAAGTGATGGAGGTTGAGCTATGCATCGCTGAATGGCAAAGGTTGATATTCATCGGCAAATGGGTGAATTTCCAATGGCAGTAAGAGCACTACCATAAGATCCTAAGTTTGAAACCCAGTGAGTGTGTACTGATGAAGAGTCCAAAACTAGGGCGAAACAGCTATCCAGTTCTTGGTTTTCCAGTGGTTCTCTAAATGGTATCAACTCATGATCAATCATAAAATCAATCAAATCCGTGCAAAATCAACACTTGAAAACATAGATGCTTCACATCCTTTCTTAGAAAGATGTGATCGGTATTACAGTGAATAACGTTCCACGATCTAACAAGTTAATATTATTGTTTAAGCTAAAATGTTTAATTATGTAGAGTAAAAATATGTATTTACTATTCACTGTGTGAACATACCTCAGCTTCAGGATGATCTTTCAGCGCCTTCAATATATCTTCACGTGAAAGAACAAATAATTCAGCGTAGCCGACAGCTCTCACGTCAGCAGTTCGCCTGGTAAAATAAAAACAGATATTGAAATAAACTGAATATGGGAAGAAGTGTTAATTAATTACTCTTTTCACGTAGTACATACTACTACTAATCTATGTAAGTAGTCGTAAAGTACTCATATTCATTGATAACATTAACTGATTAGATCGAAGTGGTCAAAATATCGGGTGATCTAAGGCATAATAATAATTATTATTACTAATAGAATATAAATCTGGTATATTAAAGGCATCAAGAAATGCTCTACACCAAATCGCATGGTATGTATGGGGGCTGAAATACTGCCTGGACATGCACACTGAAGCAGGCGTTTGTATTTAGAGCCCACTAGTGAGACTTTGAACAAAGCAGCTTCAAGAGCTACATTCCCGTGATTTCCTAGGATCAAAACAGGTTTATATGCCATTCATTTATTTCGGAATGTGGAGCCCATACACATCACAGATTTGTAATCAAGGTTTTCTAGCTCTTCTAGGTAAACCTGAATACCCAGACGTTCTCATTCGCACTTTCACTTTCGTGAGGACGACCCAAGCCGGGTGAAGACAATGACTAAGTAGTAGCTGACATAGATGGACAAAACTAAATAGATCAGAGAGCTAATTCATTTCTTCTGGTAATCAATACAAGCTGATCCATTTAAGTTATATCTCTAAAATTATTTAAATAAGAAGTACTTCTTAAACAGTTAAGTGAGTTTATTATCAAGAAAGGCGACAACTTCGCCCAATTGTCTTGTGTCTCAATAATACTAATAATAATTTTCCATAAGCTAAATAGTATTGTTTTTTTTAACTTACCTATTGATACCGTCCAAATTAAGCACGCCAATTTCTCCGAAAAAGTCACCAGCACTCATTGTTGAAAGAACTTCATTGTCTTCACTATATGAGATTTTCAAAAAAAAACAGACAAAAGAGGTAAAGAAAAGGTTTTCCTTCCAAGTTAAATTTTACAGACTGTTTATTTTTTTTCATTGTAAAGCAGAAATTGAAAAGGTTACAGGATTTCAACATGAGCTGACATCGGTTAGAAGACCATTGGAAAACCTGGGAGTACTGGACAACCAGCTGTTTCCACCATCCCACTTTGGGACTCTCCATCAGTGAGGATCCATCGCCAGGGTTCAAAACCAGGAATTTCTGCTTACAAGGCTAGCGACCTCGTGGACCATTAAGCCACTGGGACCCGATCCAATGTTTAGCCCACGAATTTCAACTTCAGCCAATTTATTTGAAACGACGAGTGGATCGTCAGTGCGATGGTGAGATGGAGGAGATCGTGTGGTGAGGAGAGAGAGACATTATGAGCAATTGTGGAGCCGGCTGAAGAGGGCAGCACCAAATAGAACAAAGTGGAGATGTGTTGTTGAAGCCCTATATTTCACTAAGAAACCAAGGGAATGATAATAATGAGAAGAAAACTAGATGCGACAGCAAAAATTTCATGATATCGTTTAATGTACCTTCTTGATACCCTAATGTACCCCTGATTAAAAAACAATCGGTTTCATATGTAAAGATTTTATTGGACGAAACCTAGACATTGAAATTTCCGTAACCTCTATGAGGGCACTTCTTTTAAGATGTTAATTTTATGTTCAACAAGAAATTCTATAAAAAAATTGATGGTGTGGCTGTAAAGTTATCATAAAGGAGAATTACAGTTAATTTCTTCCTTGCTAAATTAGAGGATCGACATCCGGAAAGAGACAATCACTGAACTGGATGTATACTGTCTTCGCATGGATGAGAAGTTTCGATTGTTATAATTGCAAGTGATGCGATATATATCCATCCTGCAATAAATTTCACTATGGACTGGGAAAGAGGATGTTACATTATAAAGGAGTTTATATAGAAAACTTACATTGACCAGTTATTACACGAATAGTTTGAGTATTCTTACTTTGAAATATCAACACAGTTTTGCAAAATGTTTGGCTCATACAGATAGAGTAAACTGCTTAAAAGACTGTTTCAATAAGGGGCTTGAGATTATCAGAGATTTACAGGATTGCATGATGAGCTGACATTGCTAAGAGAACCACTGGGAAACCTGGGAGTACTAGACAGATGTTTCGTCCTTGTTTGGAACTCTTCATCAGCACTCACCCACCGGAATTCGAACCCAGGACCTTCTGGTGACAAGGCGAGCTTGTATAACGTGAAGCCACTGGGACCCGATCCGATGGTCCATGAATTCTAACTCCTACCGATTCACGACATAGCACGAACTACTAACGACTTGCTCTATTCGGGTAGGTAGTTACCTAAGGTTCTAGTGAGAAGTCGTGACCAGTAGGGTGCAGCAGGTCAGGTGTGAGGATAAATACTCACCGAAGACATTGGCTAGTGGTCGCGCTATGTCGTAAATTGGCAAAAGGAAGAATTCATGGACCATTGGATCGGGTCCCAGTGGCTTAATGGTATACGAGCTCGCTAGCCTTGTAACCAGAAGGTCCTGGGTTCGAGCCCCGGTGGGTGCGTACTGATGAAGAGTCCCAAAGTAGGACGAAACAGCTGTTAAGTACTGCCCGTTGGTTTTCCAATGGTTTTCTAACCAGTGTCAGCTCATGATGAAATCCTGTAACCAATCAAATCCCTACAAACCAACACTTGAATATCAGAGAATTACTTAGCTAAAACAGTTATTCATATACTTTCATTGATAAAAATAGGGATTTATTGCCAAGGCAAGTCAGTGTGAGCCTTTGTTCATTAAAGAAACTGTAATTCCTCGCTGATAAGATCAGTGAAGTACGAACAATTCGCCTGAAGAATGCAGTAAAGAGAGCATTCTCTGCAGTATAAATGAACTGACTCTTCACAACTCCTCCAATTTTATTTCCCGGAATTCAGGATAAACTACCCAATTTCTTTTCCTCAACGTTTGTATCAACTGGTTTTCGCGTTCCTGTAGAGCCGCTTACTTCGGCCTTACATTTCGGCAGGTTCATCATCAGATTGCTGAACATCACTGTGCATGGGCAAAGTAAAGGACAAATACAATCTATTGATAGATTTGTTTTATCATACCTTGTACATGGTGAGACAAAATGTGATATTAATTAAGCAGTGAAAGCTATTTAACGCATTCCAATCAATATTAAGTCTGCTTAAGGAGTTTGTCTTCTACATACAGCTGAGGCCAACGTAATGCATCTGAAAAAGAAATTCGCGTAGCCACTCTCTCTACCTTGGCTATCAGTACAAGAATGTAGGAAAACTGACAGTTTCGCTGTCAACTTAAGCCATTTACAAGTCATGGATTTCATCATCCTTAATTGTTTAATGCTAAGTCATTTTAGACAATCGCTTATTTCTTAATTTCTCCTTTTTTTCCAGAATTATGCACTATGCCAGTAGGATGTATGGTGTTGTTAAAGTTCATAAGTCAGGATACCCCATTAGACCTATAGTTGATTTTAGAAATTCACCTACTTATGAATTATCTAAATATTTATCCGTGGAATTCAGTCCCCTTAACATCCACTCAAAATCTAGAATACCACATTCTTATGAATTAAAACATAGATTAGATAATTTAAAATTAGATAATGAAGAGAAAATGGTTAGTTTTGACATTGTCAGTTTATATACACGTATACCAATAATAAATATGGCTATAGAGGCAGTCAGAAATGAACCCATTTCTGACCAAGAACTCGAAATTAGAAGGAAAGCGCCACTTGAGGACATAATGCTGGTAGTGCAGCTATGCGTGACTTCCAGAGAATTTAAACTCCAAGGAAAAATATACAAACAAACTGAGGGAGTTGCTATGGGATCACCAATATCCCCAACTGTGTCAGGTATATTCATGGATAGGTAAGAAAACATTGAAACGTTCACCCCCACCCCAAAAAGTATAGTGGAGGTATGTAGATGACACATTCACTGTAATTAGAACACAGAATATATAAGATTTTTCGAACACATTAACTCAAATGTGGAGGCAATTCAATTCACTTATGAATTGAAAAGTCAGGAAGGGGAACTTCCAATGTTAGATTGTAGCGTATAAAGGACAGAATATAGGAAGTTAAACATTAGTGTTTACAGGAAACCCACACATTCAAACAGATATTTGGACTTCCGATCATCCCATCCTATGTCAGTGAAAGTAGGATTGGTGAAATGTTTAAATAATAGAGCACAAAAACCAAGTATTACAAAGGAAAATCTAAGACGGGAAGTGTGGCATATAAAAGAAGCTTTAAAACTTAATTATTACTCTGATAAATTAGTCAGGAAGTATGTAGGAGAATGTAAAAATAAAATTAACAATAATGGTAGTGAAAGTGATAATAATAATAATACCAATGACGACATGCATGTCAAACACGTACAGATTAATGACAACACTAACAGTAAGGAATCTAAATCATCAGTAGTACTTCCATAGAAAGAAGAGACCTCAGAAACCTTACAGAGAATTCTGAACAATGCATGAATAAAAGTGGCATTCAAAACCACAAACTCAATTAGAAAAAAACTTTGTCGGTGAAAGGATTCTGTGAAACCTTTCAAACAAAACAATTTACGGTCCCAGTGGCTTAATGGTCTACCAGCTCGCTAGCCTTGTAGGCAGAAGGTCCTGGGTTCGAATCCCGGCAGTGCTTGGCTGAGTACTGATGAAGAAGGGTCCCACACACTAAGACGAAATGGGTGTCCAGTACTCTCTAGTTAATTTAGTTTATCTAATACCCTTCCTGCGGTGATTATCAGGTTAAATACATAGGTCAAACTAGTAGAACAGGTGCAGTCAGACTAGCCAAGCATAAAAACCTAACAAAACCTAGATTGGTTGATCCAAATAAGATAAGAAATCTAGAGAATAGCTCAGGCGTAGATAGCATACACTACATGCAATTGTACACAAGCACACAACAAGATGGGATAAGAAGACAGTTTTGAAAAACTTATATAACAGAGTGGAGTGAGAGATTGATAACAGAGGCTTTGTTTATCGAATTAACTGCAATCACGTGCTATATGAATGATTCAACACCAGATATCTGGAAAATTCTACCACCCCTACGACAAATAGGAAGGAATAAAGAAAACTATAAAACTGAAGTTTTGAAGTCGTGTGATTACAATTGATGAAATGATTATGATCAGCAATCAATTGTGTTCGAAACATTGTCACCCAGTAAATAATACTGTTTCACTCACTGTGTGATACATCTAATAAACAAACTAATATGGAACTGGTGTGTAGGATTATGAGTCACCCAACTACAGGTGGAAGGAACTGACGAGGATATCAAAGCAAGAATCGAAAAAGCAAGACAAGCTTTCACTACTCTCAAGTTTGTGTGGAGGTCAACAGCACTGAGCATCCAAAATGAGATCCGGATTTTCAACTCCAATGTGAAGTAAACTTTCTTTTGATATCATAGCAGATGTACTATTACCTTTGTTATTTGGTTTATTGATCTTTATTGTTATTTTGACTTTCAATATATCCTTTTAACTTGACCTAAGTCTATTTTCTCACCCCTTAACTCTTTGTTATATATATGCTGAGATTTTGTAAATTCCGGTTTAATAATACTTTGATAAAGCTATTAGCACTAAATAGCGAAACGTCAGTAAAAACAACAATATCGTTTTGTTTTCCATTCATTGGGAAATACAAAAAAACCTTTGTTTTACTGAATGAATATCACATACCCAATGCCTAAATTTTTTCAAACTGTCAAAACTGAACTTGGTTTGGACATATATAATTCGTTAGTGAGTTTAATAAATCATGGGTAACATATCAAGTTCAAGGTCAGTTGTAATTTCCTGAACACCTACTACTTTTAACTGGTATATACTGAATTCGATCACATTTTCATCGCGCGTGAACTTATGATTACAAGGCGGGTACG